GCTGGTCACGTGACTAATATATAGGTGCTAACAACTCTGGACTTATAAAAGTGAACTGTATAAAACCTGAAGGGTGAGTGGAACCATTTTAGAAAGACCTTGAATCTGGCTCTGTTCCTGGGATTTGAACTCAGAAATAAACTTCTTTCTACCAGTTCCCTGCCCCTTTGATTTACTGGTATCAAGGAGAGCAGCTGAGCGTTACTCAGACCATAACACTTTCAAACAGACAGAGCCCAAAGAGACACCTCAAAATTACGGCTTTTCTTTCTCTAAGTCAGACAGGTAAGGCTACAGACAAGAAGAATTTTGGGAAGTAAGTTACAGTTTTGTGATTGCTCCCACTACCGTGACTGCATGCCTGTGAGTACCAACCAATGAGACAAGTCTCTCACATTCTCTGATAGCATTCACTCAACCTACAACCCTGAGAGAGAAAGCCACACTGAAGACACGAGGAAAACAAGTCAATCCAGTCTAGAGAACAACATTCAGGGAAAGAGTATCAACACCTTCTTAGAACATCAAAATAAAAAATAACTCCATCAGAGACATCTTGCCAAGGAGCATGTTGAAAGTCCAAAATAGCACCATTCATCAGTGTCTCAGGTTCGGTGGCAGCATCTCCGTCACTTACCACAAGGAAACAATGAGTGTCAAATTACTTCTATACATCAAAAGAGTACATGGGTAGAACATAGAGAGATACAGACAGTTGATGAACATAAACTACTAGGCTTGTTACAGCTAAATGAAAAAAAATGGGGACCTTCAGCCTCTGCAAGAAGCAGTTGGGACCCCTGTGAGTGAAAAGGCAGCAGGAGTGGATGGGTCATGTGAGCATGGTGAGAGTTTGAGCTGTGGAAGACATTCTTGTAGTGAACCAGGCATGATGGCTCACCAGTAAGGGTTGTAGATGTGGATTCACAGGGTGAAATTCTGAGCATTTTCACTTGAGTCAGAATGATTAAAAGACTGGCTTGATGATACCTATTTGTCCATTGTAGATTCTCTAAAGCAAGGCTCAGAGTTCCGTAGTTTCTTCTTATACTTGATGGTTTACACAGAAAAAAGTCCCATATGTGATACCATGACCTCATCAATACCCATACACCATATGTAACACAACCGGAGGTGTTATGATTTTAAAAAGTGAAGGTAACTGATTGGTCCTGCAGGGAGCAGAGAGTTCACTGCTGTCCAGGGTAGTCAGGGAGGCAGCATCGACCTCATCGTCCTTCTTGCGGTTCACTTCCTTTGGGACAGGAAGCCTTCCCTCCATCTCCTAGTTTGGAAATGGTTCTTGATTGACCCAGACGGAGAGTTCTGGGTAGTAAACCATGTTGAGAATCTTAGTCTTGAACTTTTATTCTCCCTCTCTTCAGTCCAGGGAGACCAACAGACAAAAGCCCCGCAACCTGCTCACTCTCCCTCCTCTCTCCACTTGGCAGGAATCGGCGGCTGGCTGGTGGCCAACAGGCGCGCGCGCCTCGGCACCCCGCACCGCGCCCCGGGAGGGGGACAGAGCGGACCGTCGGTCGTCGCCTCGACCCGGCCCCGCCCCAGGAGCCCGGCGCGCTCACCGAAAGTGTTTTAATCCTGGTGAAAATTCCTCCGATTTTGCCTATACAAACGAAACTTCCACTTCCCTACTTCTCAACATTTAATTCCTTTGCAGTTGGTGTTTCTGGGTGGGTCATCCTCACACTTTGCTCTTGAGTAAAGGCTCTTGAGTTAGATTCTGACCCTCTTGGTTATTTTAGGTTGACATTTTGGTGACTGCAGAAAGTACCCGAAGCAAGCCTCCTGTGATCCTTGCCGCTGCTCTGACATTCGGAACTTTGGCACAGTCGCAAGCAGTTTTCACTCATCAAACCTCTTGGGAACTGGTGGGTGGGATCGGGCATGGTTTCTCTCGTGTTTTGACTCTCCCTGGTTTTGACTGAGATTCAAGCTCTGTTCCTGATTTCACACTACATGGGGCTGGAATTGAAGCTTTGCCTTAAGGCTTCGAGGTAGGAATTTCATTTGTTCTTTCTCTAGAGATGTTGCTGTTAGCAGGTATGTGATTTCACTTTCCTTTGAGGTTAAGGCAGTCATGCCCCAGGGATACACTGAGAGCCCGACTCAAAACCAGATCTCTCAGGTATGGACTTCTTTTTAAAAAAGCATTTTAAAACAGTATGGAGACAATTAGCTCCTCAAAGGATAAGCAAGCCTCTTTTGAAGATGGGATACATTTATGACAGCAGTTAGCTATAAAGGGACATAAAGTTTCTTCTAAAGAAAAACTTCAATGTTAGCAAAAGCAAGAAAAGTACTTAGGCCACCTACTGTCTAAGGAAGGACTTTCTATCAATCCAGGTAGATGGAAAGGGATTTTAGATTTTCCTTCACCAAGAAACAAGAAAGAGCTAAAAAGATTTGGGGAACTGACAGGATATTGTAGAAATTGGATCCCTAGTTTTTTGTTTTGTTTTATTTTGTAAAGCCCAGCCTTTACATGCTCTTAAAATGGGACATACTAGACCCTTTAGAGTGAACAGAGTAAAATCAACTAATATTAGAAATAACTTTTTAAATGACATAACTAAAATCCCCAACTTTGGGACATCTAAAGTATAACTTTCATTTTTGTTATTTGCACATGCAAGTGATGGAAATGCTTAATGGCTCCTAAGCAAAAAACATGGAGACCAAATGATGCCAGGTGTGGTGTGGTGTGATGCTCTGTGGGTTCTTTAACTTGTCACAGAAAAGAATTTCAGAGCAAGTCCCAAGTATAGTTTAAGACAGTATGTATTAGAGAGAAAGAGACATGCCCAAAAGGGCATGGGAGTCTTAAGAGCAAGAATGTGTGCTTGCAGTTTACTGTTGACAAGATTTTAAAGGGAGGGGGGAAGGGGTGGGTTGTATAACTTTACACATCTGGAGTTTACAGACACATATTCAATTATCAAAGAGCTTTCGCTCATAGGAATTACCAAATAGCCTATTACTCAGAAAATACAAACTGTAATGACTTTTCAGAGAAACAGGATGCTTACTTGGAGCAGTCTGGAATTAAAACTGTACATGTTTTGCCAAGAAGAAAGATGGTTAAAGAATTAGACTGACACGCAGTGGTGTCCACCTACGAGAAATGACAACTGAACCCAGAGCTGTGGAGAAGACTGTCCACCATCATTAACCAGCCACAGTAGGTTTGACCAAAGTCCTTGTGGGGGAATTCCAGAGCCCCCACCCAGAACTGTGCATTTTGGAGTTACCTGCTGGGGATATTCACCACAGCTTTTATTGGCAGTGAAGTATCTGTGCCATCTGTTTTTTTAAAAAATCATTATGAGTACATTCCTTAAGTATACTTAATTAAGAATTCCTTCCAGGGAGGCTGCATAAAAAGAAGGACATTTCTGTTAACACATTAAGCCACCAAGCTTAATGGCACTGGGGAGGACAAAGAGAGCATTTGAGGGTCTCAGATGTCAGACACGCTTTGGAAGGGCCAGAGAGTGTGGGGCCTGGGTCTGCAGGAGCCCATAGACAGGCAGGGGTTAGCAGGATTCTGGGGCAGAGGGGAGTGCAGAGGAGGGAGAGAGGGCTGTACCCCTGCCCAGAGCCCATTTCCCAGAGCTGGATTAAGCAACCATGCAGTGGCTGCATCCTTGGTATGTGGGGTTGCTCCTATGGGCCTGCAAGCAATTGTTAGCTTTGTAGGTTTTGGAACTGGTTCATACCACGTGGAGCCACTCGGGCTCACGGATGTATCCTTGACCAAGACACAGAAGTCCCCAGACACCCATCTCTTGCAAGCAGTCACAATTCTCAAAGCACTTCCTATGCTAGGCTCTTTGAATACCCCCAGGCACAGGGCTCTGATGATCCTCCATCTGTACCTTTCTTGAACATTAAAAAAAAAAATTCAACAGCACTTTATTTGCTTATTTATTTATTTTTTGAGCTAGGGGAAGTCTCACTCTATTGCCCAGACTGGAGTGGCAGGATCATAGCTCACTACCGCTTTGACCTTCTGGGCTCAGGTAATACTTCCATCTCAGCCTCCAAAGTAGCTGGGACTACAGGCATGCACCACCACACCTGGATAATTTTTAAACTTTTTGTAGAGGCAAAGTCTCGCTATGCTGCCCAGACTGGTCTCAAACTCCTGGGCTCAAGCAATCCTCCTGCCTTGACCTCCCAAAGTGCTGGGATTACAGGTGCAAGCCACTGCATACAGACAATTTATCTTGATTTTAAAAATTTTTTAGAACAAGGTAATGCTACATTGTCCAGGTTGGTCTTGAACTCCTAGACTTGAGTGATCCTTCTGCCTCAACCTCCCGAGTAGCTGGGACTACAGGTGTGTGCCATCTATACTTTTAACAAGACAGAAAACACAACTTGGTTTTGCAACCAGCAAGAAGTGGACCTGGCCTTGGACATGGGGGCTCCCCCTCTGTCCACTCTTCCTCCTTGTGTCTCAGCTATCTCCCCTCCATCCCCTGGTTCAAGACTGGAAAATGTCAAAAGGATTATCTGGAAACTGGCAGGAAAATGTCAGAATAAAACACAACATGGACATAGGGCCTGCAACTTGACTGTGTGTCTTGTGATCACTTCTAGGATTCAGCCAGATCATGACCCCACTTGCCCGACCAAGCCGGGTCCCACACCCTTCGCACAATGGGTGGTCTCTGCTCCCTACTAAACACACTCTGGGCCAGGACCTGTGATTGTCTGGAAAGCCTTCCCCAGGGCAACTGTCTTTTGCCTCTCCTTTCTGAGGGGGCATCACACTACACACATACAGCCCCAGCAGTTGCTACCCACAGATCACACCTTTATGTCAACAATTAGACCTCCCATCTAGCTTTATCTGGTGATTACCAAACCATAGCTTGCCTCACATTCCCTGGAGGACTTGCTGAGCCCAACCATCACACTTCTGATCAGCAGGTCTTGGGTCAGGTGGAGAATTAACACCTTTAGCAAGCTCCCAGTGAGGCTCACCTTGCTGGTCCAGGCCATCCCTGGGAAACTGAGGCACTAGACCAATGGGTCCCACTCCTGGCTGCACACCAGCCTCAGTGGGGGGAGGGGATACAGCAGACACAGTGCCCTGCTTCCATGGGCGGCCCGTACCAAAGTTTTATTATTTTTTTCTATACATATGATTGGTTAACAGTATAATAAGTGGGATATAGTTGTATACCCTGACAAGATTAAATATAAATATATTTGCACCACCTTTAATCAGTCTGCTGTCCTAACTGTTACACAGGGAAATGTGTATCTAATCTTACAAGGCTTAAGCAATTCCTTCTCAACTCTCTATGGAAAGATTGTGCTGATCAGAAGGGGGAGGCGGTCCCTCCTGATGAGTCCATATGAACCTGGGGTATCTGTAACTTGAGGACAGAACATAACACAGTGGACTTCTGGTTAATTGGCGATATTGCCAAGAGCTGTGAGCCGTGTTTCAATTGCAGGATGGGCAGATGTGGTTTGAGGGGTCCGGTCTGGTTGGTCCTGATGGCTTCTAACTCTCAGCAAACTTCGGGTTCATGACTGTGGTGGTGGCGCTCTTGAAAAGTGGGTTATCCTGGTGGAAAACGCAGACACAGGCTTGTAAGTTGTGGTGGGGGGGTGAGGGAGGGCTTTGGAGCACCAACCCTCTTCCTGAGGCTGCAGGTCCACATGGAAGCCATCACTGGGGAGGAACAGAAACAGGGTGGCCCTCCCAGGGTCCCGTCCACAGGGGCAACTTTACCCAGAGCCATGTGCACTCAGAGGACAGGTTGTGGTGGTGGTGGGGTGGGGTGGGGTGCAGCCACAAGTAGGATCCATGGGTTCCCACTCAGAGCTCCCAGTGAGAGAGGCATGCGCCTTCTGTGTGGGCCCCCGAGGATGGCCACTCACATTGTTCCACTGGGACTTGAGCTTCTCCTTCTCGAAGCGCTTGTATTCCCGGAGGTCACTCAGGTGGGTCAGGGCCTTCCAGATGACCAGCAGGAGGAGGCCAATCAACACGACGCCTGCCAGGGTGCCCCCGACAATGGCAGCAATATTGGGGCCCTTCACACATTCTAAGGAGGAGGCACATGCACATATGTGCTGCAGCGTCAGGTCTGCCAAGTCTGTGGCCATACACTGTGCTCCATTGGACAGAGGCTCCCACAGCCTGGCTCACTGTCCATCACTGTGGCCACAGGTCCATGAGAACTCTGCCCAGCCCCCACCAGGAATGAAGCCAGGCCCTGCGGCTTCACATGAGACCTAAGAGCTGCCTGGCACAGCCCCTGCTCACAGAGATGAAGGTGGGGCCAGGTCAGCAGCCACACAGGGCAGAATACTAATACCTAGGGAAGGAAACAGTGACTCCCACCATTGCATGGCAGAGTTTAAGTGTGGAGACTCATGGTGTCTCTGCTGGAGTTTGCTCTCTGGAGAGGTCACAGCATGGTAACCAATGGCAGGAATCAGACACTGACACTAGGACAGGCAAGGCCACTAGGGGATGAGTATGGTGGGGTGCCAGCAACCACAGCAGCTGGCCCAGCTTCCTGGGCGTGGGGACTCAGGGCTTCAGTGGGCCACATCCACAGCCCTGACCATAGGACAAGGGCACTAATGCTCAGTGCCAGCCCCTGTGGCCTGATCCCTGGCACCCATGTTTCTGCCATTCCAGGGAAGCCTGCTGTCCTCATAGAGGTGAAGTAACTTGACTAAGCTTGCACAAATCCAGACATGAACCCGAGCCTGACCTGGAAAGGCCTCTGCCATGTGGGTCATGGGCTCTGGGCACCGCCCATGGAGGCTCTGAGCCTACCTACTCTCTTTAGGTCCCATCTTGTGTGGGGGCAGTTTTGGAGGGGGATTGCTTCCAGGTCTCAGACCTGCAAGAGTCTTGGCAGGCTGCTGGTCCACACCTCATGGAGCACCCCAGAAGCCTCTCCAGCCCTGGCCCCTTTGCTTCCGAGTGGGAGAGCTGGGTATGCTGGGGGTTTCATGGTGTTAAAATAGAGACCATAAGATTGACAGACTCTTTGTGGCAATGAGATACCAAATTATAAACGGGACCTGCCACTGTCCCTGTCTTGTGGTTGGGCCCACTGTAGCCCTACATACCCCAGTCACACACCCTACACTTAAATAATTTTTCTTTTCCTCTAGCAGCTAAACTAGTCTGGCCTCAAGATAAGCAATGCTGAGCCAACTGCAGCCCACCTATCAGCAGATGCTAACTAACTGACCCCAACTCTGTCCTGCTAGTCATAACTACAGCTTTCACTGGACAAGAGACTGATTTCAGTGCCTTTCTCCTGGTGAGAGACCGCCAACCATGAACCTGGCTGGTTTACAGAGGCTGCACACTGAGTGAGTGCCTTGTATCCTTCCAAAACCTTTTGACTTACAGAGCCTGACTGTGATACATTGACATGTTAAGTCTCTATCCCAAGGTGAACATAGGTCGTACATTACATGCATGTTTGTTCAATATGCTTGTGTGAGGAATCCCTTTATGGATATTCATGGATCCTCCTGCAACCTCCTGAATATGTATGTTTAGCCAACGTGTTCTGAATAAATCCCTGTCTTTCACCTTCTCACTCTAGAAGTGCCTACCTTTGGTTTCTAGCTGGATGTTACATTTCCTGTCTACAGGCTGTGATCCGTTTGTTTTCTTTGAGTTGGGGTCTTACTTTGTCACCCAGACCAGAGTGCAGTGGCACAATTATGGCTGCTGCAGCCTTGACCCATTGGACTCAGGTAATTCTTCCATCTTCTTAGCCTTCCAAGTAACTGGACTACAGGTGCATGCCACCATGCCTGGCTAATTTTTTTATTTATTGCAGAGTCAAGGTCTTGCCAAGTTGTCCAGGCTGGTCTCGAACTCCAGGGCTCAGGCAATCCTCTCACCTCAACCTCCCGAAGTGCTGGGATTATAGGTGTGAGCCACTGTGCCCAGCCCTGCGATCCCTTCTTAAGAAATAAAGACTTCTCTCCAAATTTATGATCTCCTGATTTTTAAGTTGACAATGTCTGAAACCCTCAAAGCTTATCCCATCCTGTGTGTGGTCAGCCTAAGTCCCAGCATGCCAGAATCTTCTGTGCCTTCCACCCAGTGTTCCTCCCAATGACCTTCTCCACCCCTCACACCATCTGCCAGGCCCTCTGGACCCTCGACCTGACCAGTTCCTCCCAACCCTTCTCCCTGTGTGTGTCCAAGCTCAGGCTCTGTCCACTCCCCCAGTCCTTGCCACATCTGCCTCCCACTGCCAGTTTCCAGACTGAGCAGCTGGCCAATAGGTGGGCTTTTATAAGCATCCTTTGAATGTATTGCTTTCCTGAAATCTGTCATGGCTGCCTGGTGCATTCAGGAGCGGACCTGAACCCCTCCCAGGACTCAAGACACCATAATGACCAGCACCGACCACCTCCGCCCACACATCCTTCCAGTCTGGATGCTTTCCCTGCCCGCTCATAGAGACCTCTGATCCTGGGGACCCCTCCCACTGTCATCTCTGCCTCCTGGTACCCCTGGCACAGCTGACACTGTTAGGCCATGGCTTTCTGACACTTTGCTGAGTGCCTCCCCCCAGTGGAATGTGCACCCCAAGGAGCAGTCAGTGTCACCAAGATCATTACATTGCTGGTTGGTTCTGATTGGAGCCAAATTAGCAGACCAGCAAAGAATGCTGGAGAGATGGCCGTTCCTGGTACCCCTCAGCTGCCCCAGGGTTGAGAGCTGAGCTTGGGGATCCTCAAGTCCCTGCAGTGGTCCTCACACAGCTTCCCTGGGCCTACACCTCCAAGCCTGGGCCCCCTGTCACCAAGTGGAGATAGCCCGCCCGGACCGCGTGATGCTCCAACAAATCCAACCCTTGGTGGTGAGCTGCACTACAGTCAGGACACATGCAATCCGCTCCCAATGAGGAGGCAGATGGGGAAAGGGCAGTGAAGAGAGGCTGGTAGGGCTGGGGCAGGAGGACAGGCTGCTAGCCTCCTGCAATGCCCGCCCAGGATGTCCTGCCCCCTCATCTGCTTCACTGGGCCTGCCTCACTGTGAACACAGGAGACCTCTCTGCCGAGGCCCCTTGGCTGCTCTTTCCCATGTGCCTGCCCTGACTCCTAGCCAGTCAGCCTCACCTCGGCTCTCCTCCACGTGGATGTCATATTGGTCCCACCCATCCCGCTGCCTCAGTGTGTAGGTCATCCAGCAGCCCTCTGAGTCCCGCTCTTTGCAGGTCCTGCCCTTCACGGAGGTGTTCTTCAGCTGCAGGCCCCCGCACGCCATGCTGCAGTTCTTCCCGAAGGGGCCCTTGTCGAACCTCAGGCACTCGGCACAAGAGCTGTGGGAACCGGGGGGCATGAGTATGGGTGCGAGGGTGTGGGGGGGACTTGGGTGTGTGCCTGGGGCCTTGGGGAGGCAGTAGCAGCATGAGGGTGGGGACTGGAACCTGATCCCAGGGGTCCAAGAGAATGGACCTGAGACTCCCCTGGGCAGGGCCACTGCAACTGCATGTGAGAGAGGAGGGCATAGGGGCTGTGCCTGCTGCTACAGAGGGCCCTCTGCTGTGCTAAGGGTGCTCGTTGATGGCTCCCAGGTGAATCTGGCAAGGAGTGACCCTGGGTGGTCTCCATACTCACATGTACTCGCCGCAGGGTGAGAGGCAACCCGGGCACTCCTGGCATAGGGGCGGCTGGTAGCCCTTATCACACTGGCATGCATTGCAGTGGCACCGGCCGCGGCCGCTGCACTCCACACGCCGCTGGTTCAGACAGCCCTCGGTGGCCTTCTCGCACTGGCAGGCTGAGCCCTCAAAGCCTGGGAGGCAGCTGCACTGGCCGCAGAAGCAGAGCCCCCTCCCTGGAATATAGTGGGCCCAGGGCTCACCTCCTGCTTGACCCAGGGACTGAGGCCACCCCCTCCACCTCATGCTGCCCCCAACTTCCCCTGCGGCCTGCTTTCCTGCAGTGCCCTACTGCTGTGACCCCTGTGGCCCCATCCTAGGAGATGAGCATGTCCGAGCAAAGGGCTTATTGGGTACTACCAAGCCCTCCTATTCACCAACCACACTGCCGCCTCCTGCGGAGTCCAGGTCTCCCCATGCCCACCTGTGAACAGGACCCTGATCAGGCTGGGACTATTGCCCCTTGGGGTCCTCCCTATGAGGACACCTCACTCTCACCAACACAAACACAGAGGCAGGGCAGGCTGGAGGTTGTCCAAGGTCCTGCAGCTGCCAATCGACCATGCAAAAGCCATGCCATCTGTTTATCCCTGGCATCCTCTCTCTCTGCTCCCCTCGCCATCTTCCAGCACACAGTCAAGGTCAAGTGCATGCCCAAGAAAGGATGGCAGCTGCCCGCTTGTACTGCCAGCCCCGCTGGGGAGGGACGGTATGCTCACCCAGGCCACCGCAGACACGGCCGTCAAAGCGCTCACAGTTGGTGTTGTCACACTCGCAGTACCGCCCGTAGATCTGCTTGCCTGGGACGTCACTGGCATGACACACACACTGCCCACAGATGCAGTCGCCGAGCCCCGAGCAGAGGAGGGAGCTGTTGTCCTTCCGGCAGCTTCCTTCCAGTTCCTGGCTGCTCCGGCCCTGTGTCTGGCACTCACAGCTCTTCCCAATGTGGCCGGCGTCACACCTAGGTGGGAGGATGTGGGAACAAGGGGCCTAGTCATACAAGGGCAGCAGGCATCAGCTACAGGGCACACTCCCAGGACCCTGAGAGGTGACCCCTGCTACAGGCCACCCCGCCTGCAGGAGGGGCCCCTGGAACACCTACTTCCTGGAGGTGGGAAAGGGTACCAAGGGCCTCCTGTACCTGCCTCACCTGCAGATACCTGCCCTGGGGGGTGGGAGAGAGTGCCAAGGGCCTCCTGTACCTGCCTCACCTGCAGATGCCACACTCCAGGACGCCCTTGCCGTGGCAGAGGCTGCGATCTTGGCTCTGATTCCGGCACTGGCAATCACACTGGGGAAGGACCTGCACAGTCACTGTGTCTGTGAAGCCCAGTGGCCGGATGACAAATGATTGCTCCTGGATGCACTCTGTGGCTGTGACCTTCACCTGGAAGGTGATCTAGAGGGAGTGGCAGAGATTAGGCGGGACCCTCTGGTGCCAGGGTCTTGACCTACCTTCTCCCAACCCCTTGCCCACTGGCCTCTGCAGGAGCCCTAGGGAAGCTGGCCAGCATAGCCCTAGGGAAGCTGGTCAGCATAGGCTCAGGACCTATGAGGCCAGAGCAAGCTGGTGACGTCCTGACCAGCTCCTGGGATCTTTGTGTGGCCAGGCAGTGGAAGGGCGATGTCTTCTTCCAAATACTTCTTAAGCATGCAGTAAAAGGAATTTAATGTGACTTTTGGGGGACAATTTGTCCACATAATTTGTCCATAAGTCCATTCTGCCAAGATGCCAGAATTCCACAGGAAGTCCAAAGTCATGAACATAGTGTTCTACTCTGACCCTGGGACCGCAGATGGTGGCAATGAAGGCTGGACACTGTGGGTATAAGCATACCAGACGCCAACACTGGCTGTGGGGAGCACCAATATGTCCAAGGCAAGCCACAGCTAAAATGCTAAGTGAGTTTCCACAAGGGGCATTGAGGTGGAACACAGTGAATGTAAAAACAGAGGGAATGCATGAGACCTGGTACTCGAGAACACAGCAGGGTGACTATAGTCAACAGTAATGTATAGTATATTTTAAAATAACTAACAAACAGAATGGGAATACAAAAAAATGATAAATATTTGAGGTAATGGCTACCCCAGCTAATGTGATGTGCTTATTACATATAGTATGTCTGTATCAAAACATCACTGTGCCCCATAAATGTATATATCTACTATGTAGCTGTGTGGTAATTGTCCGGGTATTGATTCTTTCCCTATACCTGGCTTCTTTCTGCCCCTCTGCCAGGGAGCAAACTCTAGCCAAAGCTGGTTTCTGCAGGGTATACATATTCCCAGTAATGGGATGCAGGTTATCGAACAGAGTTAATCACCTTACTTGCTGTAACTGTAAACACCATGTAAGCAATCTGAACAATTAACTTGCTTGCTTGTAAAACTTCTTGTTGTACTGACCCGATTCTTTCTTCACCGACTGGCTGCCATCTGTGCCTCCTATAAGTCCTAATAAACCAATGTCTTTCCCCAATGGACATGGTGACTTCTTTGGTATAGGTAAAGAACATTACATGCAAGTCCTCTGAGATTTGGAGTTACTGTGTTACCATACCCATTAAAATTTTTAAAAATGAGACATTTAAAAAAATGCAAAAGAGATTTTCAGACAATATTTAAAAAGATGGAGCAGAACTATCAGTAAAAATGTATAACAAGCTACCAGCAAATTAGAATACAACTACATAAATTCCAAGTAGATTACTCCAAAATGAGGGGAAATATTTTGGTGAAAATGCACATACAGCATTTAGTAAGTAATGTATTTGGAAGAATTCCAATATCATATTTAAAATGTAATGAAAGATGGGCAACCCTGTTGGGTCCCCTCCCACTGTGGAAGCTTTTCTGTCCTCTCAATAAATCCTGTTTTCTCACTTTAAAAAAATGTAATGAAAGCATGTATTTTGCTGGATATTAGTTCATAACCAGCAAAAAGATAAACTGAATGACTAGATAATACATTTAAAGCTAAAATATTAGGGAAATAACTCAATGCTTGCTTCTGATCACCATGTGCCCTGTGCCTTAATGTTTTTGTCAAAAAACAAAATGAAATACACACAAAAAAATCAGGAAAACTAATCCACCCTGATTTGTTGTTTGCATCTGCTCTGTCATGGGGTGCTGTCATCACTCAGTCTACACTGGCTCCTCCCAGGGATTTGGATTTCCTCTGTGGTGTTAATAACTAGAACTGTGTGGGCCAAGGAGTGTGCTAAGCACCCTCCCTGTGTTCACTCCATGATGTTTAAAATAGAAACTTCACAAGAAAGTTTCTGGCTTTGGCTGAGAGGATGCTTCAAGGAAAGAAAAGTGGACCAGTCAGTGGATGCTGACTGCCTCCCCATTTGCTTCCCTTGGTGTCTCTACATGCCAGTGGGTAACTTCCTGGGCCCTTCCAGCATGCTGGGATTGAGACCCTTGGTAATTCCAGCTGTCCCTGAGACTCTTCCAGCATGCTGGGAAGGAGACCCTCAGTCCATCCAGTTGTCCTCATGGCTCTCCAGCATGCTGGGATGGAGACCTTTGGTCCCACAGCCTTGTAGCCAAGCTCACCGGGACGTTGATCTGCACACCGTCACAGTCCCCTTTGGGCTGGTTCATGCTGGACACTCCGTTGCTGCAGAAGGAGTCATAGGTGACTCTCAGGGTGTTGGGGAGGAGGCTGTGGTCCAGGAAGACCCTGGAGGAGAGTTTCTGTGGGCAGATAGTGGCCACTTAGGGTTAAGTTGTTGTGCCATCTGTTCCTCCTTGGCACATGGCTGGGCCCGTCTCCATTTCATCTCTTCGGGTCATCAGCAACACTAATGACACATGCATCCACTGAGGGCACAGCAGGATATGCTGAGGATGGCAGGGCTGGCAGAACTGCCAATACCACAGTCCTGCCCCCAAGACAGGCCCACTGCAGGACCAGGGCAGGATGTGGGCCCATGGGAAGAGGGGCTTGAACTGCTCCCCTGACCCCAGAACCCCCAAGGCCTAGCACAGGGCAGGAGCTAGATATACTGATTAAGTGAGGAGGGAGATGGAGACAGAGGTAGAGAGAGATCAAGATAGAGACAAAGAGGGGGGCAGAGATAGAAACAAAAACAGACAGAGGCAGAGAAACAGAGACAGAAAAAGAGAGAGACAGACACAGAGGACACAGAGAGAGAAACAGAGACTGAGGCAGAGACACACAGAGAGAAACAGAGACTGAGGCAGAGAAACAAAGAGAGACAGAGACAGAGAAAGATACAGAGAGACAAAAACAGAGAGAGATAGACACAGAGAGATAAGGAAAAAGTCAGAGAGAGAGAGAGAGAGAGAATGAAAGATGGAGAGACAGAGAGAGGGACAGAGACAAAGAAACATTTACAGACACAGAGAGACAAAAGACAGAGAGAGACAGATGTAGAAAGACAGAGAAAGAAGAAAGAGAGAGACAGAAAGCAGTGTTGGTGGTTGAGCTGAAGCTGGTGGTATTATCCATGCCATCCGTGCGAAGGCAGAAGCCCCACAGGCAGGGGCTGGAGTGCAGGGCCTGCTTTGGGACTGGGGCTCATGGGGGCCACCAGAAGCAAGTGGAACCTCCTCTTTGGGGCTCTGGCTTAATTCAGTGACAGCAGTGTTTACTGGAGTCCCTGACATGCCATGCTCTGTCAGGTCACCAGGATGGTTGGCCTAGAAGGACCGCACGCCAGAACTTCCAGACTGTCTGTCACTTGGGGTAGGTTTCCAGAGTGGCCGGGACCTCTGGGACCCTGAGCAGTGCCTGGTGCCTACCCTATGTCCACCAGGACTGTGGGTCCCCAGAGGCTGCAGCCCTGAGGTAGCTGGATGGGCCACGCACCAGGGAAGACTTCAGTGGGCAAGGGCATTTCCCGTGCTTGCCCAGGATGGGGTATGGGCAGCCAAGATACCAGGGACACCCAATCCCCAGAGCATCTTCATAGGACCCAGGGCTCCCTGCCTGGACCACTCTCTGCTGAGCTGCAGCAAGGGCAGGTTGCCAGCCACCCCAAGTATCTAGCCTGGCCCCTGCGGGTTCACCCACCTGGCAAGGGAGACTCACATTATAAGCGTCCTTGATGAGCTGAACCACATTGCTGGAGTCCTCCGTGAGCTTTCCAACGGCTGATTTGGGGATGATCTCGGTTAGCTTCTGTTGGGCAAGAAGACCAGGCAGGAATAGCTAGGACCTGGGGCCATGGGACCTCGTGCCTGCCCAGGCTTAGCACACCAGGGGACTCCATGCCTGTGGAATGGCTGGGACCACCCACGGCAGGGTCTTATTTAGTGACCAGAGCACATTCTCAGCGTGTGAGAGAGGGTGCTCAGGTGAGGTTGGCGGCGCTGCTCATCCCTATGGGGTAAATGTTCCCACCCTGGCTTATTCCAGGCAAGTGATATGGTTGTCCCCACTCACCGGGGTTTCCACCATGCAGGGACAGTAGGTGGAAACAGCCCCAAGAACCTGGATCATCGTAAAATGTGGTAAAATCACCAGAAAGTGGCAAGTTCTTAGTGCTTCAATTAGTTTACATGACTTGATTCTAACATCGGTGTTAAACAGCTCTGGGATGGACAGGCTGGGCACCTGTGATGCAGACGGGTCCCATCCCCCACCCCCTCGCTTAGTTCAAGGGTCATGCCATGTTCTAGTCACTTCATCATCCAGGAAACCAAAACAGACGGTCAGGTTCTGGCCCTGCTAAAACCCTCCCATGACTCCCCAAAGCGAATCCAGTCCCTCCACAGAGCATATGAGGACTGTCACAGCCTGGCCACCTCCTCTGATCTCCACCACCCACACCCATCTGTGCCAGCTGCAGGACCTGCCCTGGCTTGGGGAGCGGGGCTTATTCAGTCCTGTCCTGGTAAGCCTGCTCTCCATGCTCCAGAAACACCTTCCAGGAGAGTCAGCATGTGCTGTCCACATGTGCTGCCTGTGCCTTGACTACCCAGGATCACCATGGGTGGGGGTTGGAGGCTGAGACTGAGGAAGGCTCGTGAGCCCCAGGATGCAGCAGGTATGACTGGGGTGGTAGTCTCTGGCCTCTGCTCCTACCCAGTCAGTGTTGCATCCTGGAACCTAACAACTGCTCTGAAGAGCAAAGGATGGGACCTGCTCCAGCCCCCTTGTGGGGGTGGGGTGGGGGGAAGGCACCCATGGCCCACCTACAGATGGGCTGCAGGGCCCCCAGCCCATCCCTGCAGCTTGGTCAGCTCCCAGCCCACTCCAGGGAGTCTCCTGGACATCTGCCACCACTTCCACACCTCCCAAAGGGTTCTGTTTCCACTCCAGCGTCCAGGAAGCCTGAGAGCAGGAAACCCCGGTCTCACTGCAGCCTGACTGGCACATGGGAGCTCGTCCCTGGGCCCAAGCCTAACATGGATCCCAGTAGCTCAAATGTGCGCTTCACAGAGGCATCACCTTCCTAGGACTCTACTCCACATCCTCCAGCCCTAAGTAGCAGAGGGCGGGTGAAAGGCTGAGCCACGCAGAGTTGCAAGCAGGAGGGGGAGGAGGCCTGGTTCCCTCTTGTCCATTTTGATGAAAATGGTGGGATGACAAGAAATGGCTATTGCTGAGGTCACTGTCTGGAGGAGGGTAGCTTGGCTTTTTGGGGTAGCTGCTCCCTGAATTCGCTGAAGGTGAGCTCAGTGCCCCACAACAGGCCTCCTGGGCAGACACCATGGCCCCTTTCACAAGAAACAGGATTCAGCGTAGGAAAAGGGCCTGGGTTGTTTAGCATAAGTGATAGGGCTGGGACTTGAGGTCATCCACCAGGCCCTGATGATGCTTGAGCACTGGTCACTGAACTGTGTGACTCATGGTGAGACCATGGCCCTCCTCTCAGGTCTCCCCACACAGTGCCTCGTTCTGGTCCTTGGGACCACATGTTGCGCAGGCTGCTGTGGGTGGAGGTTCCTTCCAGAAGGGATGGGCAGCATTTCCTTCCCTTCTGGCAAGTCCCTGTTGCGCAGAACAGGATTACCCCAGCAGGTCTGGGTGGGCCACACCCTGAAGAGTCCAAAGAGTGCTTCGCCCTGGCTGGGATCCTAGGGGGTGAGCTCTAGCCCTTGGGATGTCTTGGCTGATGGAACATCTTTGTTTACCTGGGGCCTGGGCTACATGAGATGGTCCAGCAGTGTGATTTAGGGTGGACCTGACCCACTCACTGGGGATGCTACAAAGTATGACTCAGGGTAGAGCCTGGACAGTGTTGGGTCAATCACTGGAGGGCTAGAGACTGAGGTCAGCTGCAGGGACAGGAAACAGGATTCATGGTAGGAAAAGGGCCCAGGGTCATCCAGCATGAGTGACAAGCCTGGGACTCCAGGTCACCCACCAGGCCCTGTCGATGCTGGAGAACTGGTCACTGGACCATGGGATCCACGGTGAGATCATGGCCCTCCTCGCAGGCCTCCCCACACTGTGTCTTGTTCTGGCCCTGGGACCATGCACTTTGCAGGCTGCTATGGGATGGTCAGTCATACCTCTGTGAGCACCTGGGGCAATGATCCCAGCTTGTTCTTACACATGTTGCTGGAAGGACTAGGCACTGTCCACACCTCTGGGGAGGGATGCTGCGAAGCTCATGCTTGGTCTCTCCTGGATTCCACTCATGCACCTTTTGCCTTAGCTGACTCTAATTTGTATTCTCCACTGTAATAAACCAGACTGTAAGCTCAGTGGTTTTCTGAGCTCTGTGTGTCCTTCAGCAAATCACTGACCTGAGTGTGGTCTTGGGAACCCAACTACGCCTGAGCTTCTTGAACACACCAACTTGAACCCCGGAGACACCACGCAGCACAGCCTGTTTTCTCATGCTAGGTTGTATACCTGGCACCAGCAGGACAAGACAGTGCCCAGAGGCAGAGGTGATGAGAAGCTGCAGGGTGTCATGCTGACCACCAGAATATCTTCTCCTCCACCCATATTCTGTGACTCCTTTGGATCCAGTTCCTGCTGTCTTCAGAGATGAGTGAATGGGTGAGACCCTCTGCTCTATGGGCTAAGGGTGCTCTGGCAACAAGGGCCAGACTCTGCCTTCCTCCAGAAGCCTTTATTTTTTCCCCACACTGGTAGAGGGAGATGAGCTCCATGGCCACAGGGCATTGAGGAAGTTGGGCCTGGTTCCAGTTACACTTTCCAGACCCAAAGTGCAAGGTTTGGACAGTGGGGCAGGAGGCAGAGGAGGGGGTTGCATCCTGCTCCAGGTGGGTGGATGACACAGTGCCGAGTTCCAGGGATTTTTGGTTTTGTTTTGGTTTCTGCTATTTATTGAGGGCATTTATTGAAGGCCCTCCCAGTCAAAAGATGGAAGGAAGAATGTTCTCTGTGTGACAAGCTGTGTTTCCTGGGAGGCAGCCATCAGGGGACCCTTGTGAAACTCCTCAAGCTCTCAAGACTGTGAATTGCCCTGCATGCATCTTATACTTCACAAAGTGTTTATGTGTAAATGAACATGACATAAAACAAGAAAGTATCCATAAAACAAAGACTTGGACCTGCAGACCCAAGACACTTGCCATGTCCCAACAAAAGCAGAAAGTTCACCTCTGACACCAAATGCGTGTGGTTAATGTGACTGAGGTTCCAGGACAGGGAGGAGTTCCCTCCTGTACCCACACATAGGTGTCATGTTGCCTGATGGAAATCCCAGGCTCTGCACCTGTGGGAAGCTGTGGCCCCCCGCCAGTCACCTGCCTATATGCCTAGCATGCAGAGGCAGCGCTGAGCCCCTTGTGGCTCTGGGGCGAGCACTGTCCAGGTGAAGAGGTGGGTTCCACCCTCCTGCTCAGGACCCACTTCACTTACTTCATAGGTCTTCACCATCCTTTCCGTCACTGCGAAGATGGGTTGGATGTTGTTTTCTGCCAGTTTGTGCGCCAGCTGGCCCACTGACGGGTAGTCCTGAAGAGAGAGATGCTGGTCAGCTGCTTGAGCCTGGGACTGGCCCCCTGGGTGCCCCTGCCACCCATGGAAGCAACTGAGTAGGGCCCAGCAGATGGAAGGACAGCTCAGTGCAGCCCCCCTCATGTGCTGGGGGCACCTTCTCAGGGCTCACAAAGGCAGGAAGTACAGGATGATGGGGGCACCTGTCAGGTTGGGCATAGTTAGGAAAACATGGAAAGTTATGACATGCTTTTTGATCAATGCATGGACAAAGAAACCTAGTCGGAGATAACCTCCCTAGGCTTCCGGAATCGACCAGAGCATGAGCAGCACTTTGTGGTGTCCATGCCATGGGGTGCTGGGAAGCACCTTGGGTGTCTCCTGGGGGCAAAATCCCAGACGCCTCCATAGCAGCCTTTGCTCTCACTCTGAAGGACACCCACTTTCAGCATGTGGCCCCCTGCTCAGGCCTGGGGACTCCAGATGTAGGACCCTGAGTTGTGTTATCTTTAGAGTCCTTTGCAGCCCTCAGAGGAGGTTTCAGTCTGTGAGGGCATCCTGTCACAACCGGCAAGGGCAACCTCCATGAGAGGTGGTGGCCTCGGGCAGCTGCACATCCAGCCAGAGCGTACCTGACTCTCCATGCAACAATGGACCTCCGTGGGAGGGAAGCTCGTCCTGGCCCAAGTAGCATCCTGGCCTTCCTTCCCTTCTATCCCTCCAGTGCACTTTCCTTAGGGTCCCTGCAGCCCCCTCCCAGCCCATGCTGGTGGCGGGTAGTTCCAATTGAGAGGCAGGACCGGGGGCAGTCCACGTGGCACTTGGGGCAGCATGAAGCCCAGGGAGGAGGCAGGCACCCAGGATGGGATCCCTGGCCCAAGGTGAGTCTTGGGGAAGGCAGGGAGGCCCCAGATGCAGCTGGGGTGCAGTGATGGTGTCTGTGGGCCCCTATTACCTGCCAGCCCTGAGCATAGGGGCATCAGGGCGGTAGACCATCAGCAGGGCCCTTGCATGTCCCATGAGGGTGAGGCTGGGCTCAGCCTGGTGGCCTCAACCACCCACTGCCTTCCTTGGCCTGAGACCCTCTCGAGAGGCTCAAGGCTGCTGCTTGGGGCTTCCAGAAGTTTCTTCATTGATTTGCTATTCAGGTTGGAAGAAGGTTCTTGTGACCTGCCCTCTCGTACCTTTTGTAAACGCTGTCCTGCCAGGCAGTATCTCAGAGTACACAGTGGGGGAATGGTGGCACACTCACAAATTCATTACTGCGTTTGTACATGTTGTCTTCCAGGTGGCAGTGGCCATCATTGGGGGTCAAGATGGCACCCAGCTTCCCGTCTCCTGCAAAGTGGAAGCCATCATCCGTGGCGAACACCAGCAGCCGCGTGACGTTGCGCCAACCAATTTCCTCCTAGGAAGAGGACACCAGGGTTACCTGCCTCAGTTTTCCCATCTGGGACCTGGCAGAGACAGGTGGCCCCTAAGCTGGCACTGTTGTCCCTTTCTGCAGCTGTGGGAGACTGTAGAGACAGTACCCAATCCGGGGGCAGCCTCAACTCTTGAGGTCCCTGTGTCCAGTCAGATGCCAGGGTCTAGGAGGAGAAGATGACCTCCCAAATGCCCTGTGAGTGAGAAGGGGAATTGAGATGCATGTCTAGAGTTATGGAGAGAGGCACTCCCTGCAGTCCTTGCATTTCATCCTAGGGAAATAATCCCCAAGAGAAAAAAATACTCGCAGAAATGTTGACCACAGTGTGAAAACAGCACAAAAGAAGAGAGGACCTTTGGGAACCATAGTGGAGTGTTGAGCCCACCAGGGGTGGCCCCCTTGAGGGTGTACATGTGGAAAATGTGTGTGTCCTAAGCTGTGGCCTCATATATGCATGGACAGTGTGTGTCTGCCCTTGGCCCTCAGGGACAGCTGAGGGGGTTGTGAGGTGAGGACCACGAGTAGCCTGAAACACGGGCCTGGGGACTGTGATCATTCTGTTATGAGAACCATCCAACGACAGAGCAGGCACCACATGGGAGGGGACATGCTCAGGACAGTCATTGCTCTCCCACCCTCCCTTCCTTTCCCATTCCTCTCTCTCCTCCTTTCTCCCTCCCCCCGTTCCTTTCCTCTCCCTCTTCCTCCCTCCTCCCTTCCCTAGGCTCAGCTGGCCATAGTGGGGCCATCAACTCAAGTCCCTGAGCCTACTTGCCCACCCGTGCAGGATCCCCAGTGCCTGAGGAAGACTCCCTTATGGGGAAATGCAGAGATCCCAGCGGGGCGGCCTTACCGGACAGGCAGCCACCTGCATCATGGCGTCCAGCCCACCCTCGGGGGCATCTAGGTTCCCTGAGATGAGCTGCTTGCCGACCTCAGTCTGGAACTGGTCAGAGTTGCTGGTGAGCTTCAGTACATGCCTAAAGGCGAATGGCGGCTGGCAGTCCTTTTCCTTGTTGGGGCACGGGTTCCTCAGCTTCTCAGGGTGCGTGTTCACAAAGGGCAGCACGGTCTTGTCCACAAAGGACCCAAAGCCTGTGAGCACGTAACAAGGCTGGGACTCAAGGGACACCAGGACAGAGCCTCAGCTTCCCCATCTCATAGCAGGGCAAGGGGAAAGCAAGATGGTGCATGTGGTAGTGCATGTGAGCACAGGAGTGCATGTTGAGATAGCACCTGTATGCACATGTGTGGTCATGTGCCTGGGAACCTGAGAGTGTGTGATCAGGTACATGTGTGAGCAAAGGGGGGCCATGTGAGTCCCTGTGTGCATGTAGGATCTTGTACATGAGAACATGACTGTGTGTGCAATCACACACAGAGCACAAGTGTGTGCATGTGTGCTCCCATGTGCATGTGTGTGATCACGTACATATATGAGCACAAGTGTGTATATGTGAGTCCCTATGTACACATGTGGTCTTGTACATATGTGAGTACAACTGTGTATGCTCATGCAACTGTGTGAGCATATGTTCACATGTTGAGCATACAGTATATATCCCTGCATGTAGAGAAGGCAGCAGAGTACTATTCTGTGGGGCAGCACTGGGTGGGGCTGAGATGTCCCCTGTCCATTACACACATGTGTACCTGAGACTTGCACTTGGTAACGAGTCAGTGCTTGTCGAGCACTGAGACCCTGTGCTCAGAAGAGCTGCTGTGATTATTCTAGAATGCTGTGATTACAGTGTAGCCTACACCTTTGTGGTCCCTAACGTTTAATAATTAGCACTGTGAGACTCTTGTCTTTTAAACAGACCAAAAATGAATAAAAGAAGGAGGATGAGGAAGAAGAGGAGGAAGTGGAGGGTTAGATGGTGCCTGAAAGCCTTGGAGAGCCAGTGACTGAAGGGCATGTGGGCCATGGATGGCATGTGGACCATGGATGACTCCAGGGATGCAGCATCTGGAGCATGTGGAGATGCCCTCTGTACCCCACCCTGGGAGACTACATACAGGGATGTTTGTCTGTGCCTTGCCCCAGGAGCCCATGTGCAGGGATGTTTGTCTGTGCCCTGTCTGGGGAACCCATGTGCAGGGATATCCATGGGCCACAGGGTCTGGGCAAATACCAAACCTCACCAATGCGGCCTGACTCAGTGATCTCATTGAGGGCCCGCAGTAGGTCTCCACCCAGTTTCTTCACATTGATGAGGTCGTCAAGCATGGAGTAGGAGAGGTCCATCAGGTAGTACAGGTCGATGGGGTAGCCCTTGGCCCTCCGGAAGGTCACATTGAAGGCGGCTGCCTGACCTGTCAGCAGGAACCCAAGACAGTGAGTGGCACCTCACACTCCCAGGTCCTCAGATCCCCCCCCCACCCAGTGCATCTGGTGGGAGAGCTGGAGATCAGACATGGGGCTCCTGGAGAGGCTTAGGTTTCAGAGGAAGGACACACCCTCCCAAATGCAGTCACATGCTGCATGACACTATTCTGGTCAATGAGGGACCATGTATCCCATGGTGGTCCCATAAGATTATAATGCCGTATTTTTGTTTTGCTTTTTTTAAAACATATTTTTTATTTTAAAATTGTGGGGTACAGGTAAGGGTTAGGTATACAAATATCGTTCAGGCAAGCTTGTCCCAGACAGATATTGACTACCATTAATCCCATCACCTTTGCCCTCCCTGTCCCCCCCATAGATTCCCACCACTGTCGATCCTTTTCTTATAGTATTATGATAGATGTTCAAGGTCCATTTATGAGTGAGAACATGTG